ATTGAGGAGATAAACGCTGTCGAAGATTTCCCCAAACACCCCTCAAATCGCGATATAGGCCTTAATTAAGGAGATTAACGCGAATACAGATTTCGAACCCCAAAACACCCAACCGGTCAAGATTAAGACCTCAATTGAGGAAATAATCACGATTAAAGATTTCGAAGCCCGAAACACCCCTTCAGCATGAGCTTGAGCATGATTGACCGCCCGCGGATGCCACTCCGTTATTGCCAGATCAGTTGTAACTACAAAGAGAACTAACAGATGATGCTTTAGTAGTCATCTTCAATGTGAAAAATCGGAACAGCCGTGTCTACATGCAGGTCAAGAACGGATTTGGTAGGAATGTTTTAGCGTGACACTCGCTTTGTTGGAAGGCGAGAAATCCTCTGCACTTCTACGAGAAATCACTGGGATCTTAGATACAAAGATTGGTTATACAGCAAGGTTCAGTTTTCTCTGAATTACAGTGATGGGTCGAGTTAAAAAAACCTACTAACACATCTGGAATGTGGAGTGGTATTAGATTAAACTCATGATGGTCTGTTCAGTAAGCAAAAACAGTTGCTCTCAGGCCACCGAGCCCATCATATTGTTGTAGCCATTCAAACACGGCACCGATGAAAACGACGGAAATTTTCACAAAACACGGTTTGCGAACCAATATTAGTCCTTGCTCGCTTTCTACTCTCTATATGCAATTTTAACACTGCTTTACTCTGACGGAACTATCAATTCTATACTTTCATCTCCTCATCTATCGTATAAAAATTACCACTTTAGTCTGTTATTTGAAATTAGCATCTTCAACTAGGTAAATTAATTAGGCCAGTTAAACCCATGGAACCATCAAAGTGAACTTACAACTGTCTAGATATCAATAATGTGAAAGCTATTGCATGAAATTTTTAATTGACGAAGAAATGCATGAGGTTTTGACGAAGGTTTATGTGAGAGTTAATTCTTCCTGTGACAATGTCAACATTTATTCTGTCAATATCGCGTGAAAACTTTCAAGGCAATTGCAGGGTAATTCCAAAAACATCATAATAAAAATAGTGAGTACTTCAGAGAAGTACCAGTATAGATTAAAAAGCTTCAAGGTGGTCCTTTAACCTTCGCTAATATTCAAAGAACTTTAGAAGTACCGAGAATCATTGAGAAGTTTCTTGAACAAACTGTGGGACCATAATACAAATTCCTAAAAAATCAGGAAATGTTTTGGGCTCTGCTAGGAAGCTTCAAGAATTATGTCGGCATTGGTCGCAAATTGATATGGCCGGTGCGGACCTGGGTCTCCCATACGTTGTACTCGTGAACTGAAGCCTGACTGTGTACTAGTAAACTGAAGATGATGGAACGTGGACGTCCTTTTTTCCTATGCTGAGATCCCTCTAGTTTGGGTAGCTAGTGTGTGTTTCGTGGTTGATGGGAGTTTACGCTGCTGTGTGCGAAATGAAAGGCGAGAGGGAACACCGGTTGAAGAAGTAGTGGCAACTTATCTATGGGAGCTCTTCGAAATCATCGTGATGGACTCCTTTGCATCATACCGGGTAAGATCTGTCCTTTATTGTATATTTACAGACATTAAATCCTAGGTGCGGGAGGGTCCACCAGGGCACCATGTTGAAGTGAAATGCATAGGAAGAGTGGAAATGTCTATAACATTTCGTGAATAGAAGGTGGGCTCTTCTCCCTACTCATTGGGGCAACTTCCTGTTGGAAGGGCTTATTTTATGACCGGTTGTATTATCCTGTTGTTGGAAGGAGATTCAAATTTATTCCGTGGATTCACTTAGGTGATGTTACACACGAATTCACCCAAACCGTTTCTGGTCCTTTATACAATGGCAGATTGATTATATTTAGAGGTTATTAAACTTGATCAAGTCGAACATGCGAGGATAGTCCACAGTCAACAGACAGTTGTCTGTGAGTGGTAGTTCCATATCATCATCATCATCATCATCATCATCATCATCATCATCATCATCATCATCATCATCATCATCATCATCATCATCATCATCATCATCATCATCATCATCATCATCATCATCATCATCATCATCATCATCATCATCATCATCATCATCATCATCATCATCATCATCATCATCATCATCATCATCATCATCATCATCATCATCATCATCATCATCATCATCATCATCATCATCATCATCATCATCATCATCATCATCATCATCATCATCATCATCATCATCATCATCATCATCATCATCATCATCATCATCATCATCATCATCACCATCATCATCATCATCATCATCATCAGGAAATATTGGGGGATGTTCGAAGAACTTGATGAAAATTATTGAAACTTTAAAGAAGTTCCAAGAAGCTCATGGAAGCAAGGTTTAGTAATCTTCAAGGAAGCTCAGAGATTAAATGGGCAGTTTCACTAACTTCAGGAATATTTCGAGTGGTGTTTCCTTTTAACGACCATTTTTGGTTTCTCGGGAAACGAGAAATTTGGTTTCATTTTTAATCAAAGTGTATTGTAACTTCGTACGTGAAGTTTACGATTTCCAGAGCTGGGAAGAAATGCTATACTAATATCAACATGAAGCTTTAGTGTTATAATTTATAAGCTACAGAAAGTTCTTAAATTAATAGATTGTCAGTCCCTCTAGAGTACGACAGTCTGAAAATTGAATAGAAGTTGAAATTGAGCGAAGGGCCATTTATGCGACCATTCTAATTAATTTTAATAGTTTTGCTTCTATTAGAAAAATAATACCATGAAGCTAATTTCCTTTCGACTTGTGTCGTAAATTTACGTTACTACATGAGAGCTTATTTTTAACCCACAATCTTCGCATAGGCAACTCAGACGAACTTCTGAATAAATTCTAGGAGAGTTGGAAGAGACTTCTGGGAGGTCTCTTCCAACTTTCAAGAATACATTCAAAAGTTTTTTCTGGCTTCCACGATAGCTTCTTTTGACTTCCGATTGAAGGTTCATCCAACTTCTTCAGCAAGCTTCTAATAACATTAATTTGATTGTTTTAAGCTACGCCAGGATTCCACATCCCCTGAAGTTTATTTGAGTCTGTTTGGCTTCGCACAGAAATGTCCTCAGATTTGCCTTAAAGTTTTTAGTGGAAATTTTATCTAGCTCCCCCGAAAAGATCTTCCGACTTCTTTTGGAACTTTCATCCGATTTACCTTAGCAGATCTTCAGATTCCTCTGGAAGTTAATCAAAACTTTCTCTTTAGAAGTTTCTTTTCGCTCCTCTGGGAAATTTCTAGGATTTTTCACCCCAAAAATCCTTCTAAATGTGTTTCTCGAAAAATTGGAACAGATTTCCAGGATGTCCCGGGTAGGAAACAACAATTTCGAGAATTTATGGAAAGTCTAGGCTTTTGAGATGTTTAGTAAACCGATGGTCCATGATGGGCATCCCGGAAAAATTCTCAACAAGAACCAAAACCCGTTGTATGACATATCAAACTTTTTGATTTTACATGACTTGACCGGTAATGGCTATTCATTCACGGTTACACTAGCCCTCTTGGCCATGTTCTGGTGTCTGGTGCCCCCAGAAATGTTCCGTTGCTCCCGGTTCCCCGGCCAATTCTCCAAAAAGCCCAAAACTCGTCGTGCGACAGTTAAAACTTCTTGATTTCACAAAACTTGGCCGGTAATGGCCTTATTGATAGGCCATGGTCCAAGACATGCACACTAAGAAATACCTAATTTTACACGTGACGGAATCCATCTTTGACATAAAGGATGAGACGTAAATAAACATGTCATGTAAAATTAAGTGCTCCGAGACTGAAAAATTCGTTACTCGACGAAAAGTACGTTTGATTGAGCTGAATTTCGCGTCTATTATGACTCAATTTTGTGTCATAATTGACGCTCGTATATGTCAGTCTCAGAGCATCTAAATTTACATGAATTTTTCTAAGTGTGTGGAAATAATCCGGTGCCCTCCGGGAACTGGCCAATTGTCAACTAGAATTAAAACCCGTCGTGCGACACATTAAGTTTCATGATGTTGCAAAATTCAACCAGTAATGGCCTTACTCAGAGTCCACGGTCTTCCCGTATGCTTCCGTGCCCATAGCAGTGTTCCGATACCACGAGGAAATCGCCAATTTCCAACAGGAACCGTATCAATATTGATGATGCTCTCACATTCAGAACTTGCGGCACTATACATGATAAATATGGCAATTTGGAACAAAGGACTGGAATATCGTCAATCTGCAAACAGCTCGAATGAAGGTAAATTTCATATAGATCACTACGCACATGGATAAAAAAATCAGTGAGTAACCAGCTCTAAATTTACCATCAATCTCTGACTCAGTCCAAAATGAACATCGCAGTCAATGCCGGAAAGGAAATCCAGTAGAACATCGAAATCAAACTTGTTATACCTAGTCCAACGCAAGCTCATCAATCTCATTCATATTCATATCCATATCGGAAATTTTCTAACATCGCATTTTTCCTCTAATTGCTTAACACGTGAACATATGATTTTTTTTTAAACTAGTAACTTTAACACATTTTAGGTGAATCGTTTCTTATCCGCTAATGATATTTGATGTCGTGACCTTCAGCGTGAGAGGCATTTTTAAGAACTAATATCTACGATCAAGTTCAAGAAGGTTCCTTCGATTCAACAAAACAAGACCCAACCAAAATATTAATGCTTCATGTATTATTCCATTTAAATACCAGAGAATGCTTAACAATCAATACAAGTTGCAACCTACGAGCTAATGGTAACTGTTCCACCGGGTAACTGTCTCCCTCCATGTGTGTAACTCTTAAAAACTAGATGTAAATAAATTAACAGTGAGTGTGTTTGTGATTCCTGCACCCACTATACCTGCTGCTGCTGCTCCTGACTGCGATAGTTCCTCCTAAATCTAAATCTAGTAGTAGTTCAATTAGAAAAATCCCTTGAATAGCTTGGCAGTTTCTCAGTTTCATCTCAGTTAGGAACGACAGCCTATTTGATTTCGTTGGTATCGGCACTGCTGACAGTCGTAGCAGCAGTAGTTGTTGTCATAGCAGCAGTACTGGTGCTGGTGGTCGTAGCCCGTCTGGTCGTAGTCCTTGCCGTCGTGGTCGTCGTGGTCGGAATTTCAATCGTCAGATTATTACCGATCAGCGGTTGGAAGATCCACAGGAATTCGCCGGCACGGCGAGCAGAGTTCTAAAAACCGAAAACAAAAAATGCATAAGCTCATGTTAGTACTAAAGCCCCGATAAGCGGGGGGTATTTCACAGATGGCGCTACGAGCTAAAAGCTCGCGCTTTCGACGTCGCCTACCATGATCAGGTTGCCGAACTGCGTTGAAATGTTCGTTACGAGCGAAAACGAGCTTCCGAAGACGGCGTCCGGCACCTGGAGGGAGACTTTCTGCCGATTGAACTCGACAGCGTCGTCAGTGGGGGACTTCGGAGGCGGTGTGGTCGGGTTGATGGCGTCCTTTACGGCTTGGTTGGCCTGTTGGCTGGCCTGGAAGGGTGAAAGCGAAGATGAATAAGTGAATAGTTTTGTCAAATGTGTGAGAACTGTGTTGTATGCAATAGGATTGTATGGTAGATGAAAAATAGGTCGATAGTCAAATAATAAAATAGACACTCTGAAATATCATTTGAAGTGCATAAAGTTTGATAAAAGTTTACGACAAATAGTTTTGGTATCTTCGGAGCACTTCTGTTTGTCTTCACAAGAAATAAGTGTACCAAAGACTTGTAATTTCATCGTAGACAATCCAATAATATGTTCGTTCCTATACTTTGAATCTACAATGCATTGGTAATGAGGGGCTTAGGGACATAAGGTCGAAAGCATGCTTGGCACACACAGTTTTGGTCATTAACTGCTCATTTGCTAATAATTTTGCACACAGTTGACGAAACATAGTTATTTTAGAGGCAGTAGATAGAATAGAGTTTAAGCTTGTTATAGATACGTAAAAAAAAAGTAAATATTAATTCTAGTAATAAACTGTATTTGATTTTGCGTTGTAAAAATGAAGTGAAAAATGCTCGCTACACATCTCGGACTCTAAGTGTAAAAATTCATTGGTGTTGATTCAAATGATAATATTTACCTACCCTTTGCATATCTATAGTAATCTATGATCCCAATCTATCGATTACTTTAAAGAAAAACAAATTTCAACACCTGAGTGAAAAGTTATTAAAAAATGAGCAGTTGGTGTATACAACTGTGCAATTCAAGCCTGGTCGAAAGGCCTAATCTGATGTGAATCTCGATGAACATTCCAAAAAATCTTACGCGGTGAATGAGAACGACCCAAATTTAAGTTTAGTTAACTCATAAATCAGATAAAGTGCAGGAGCTCAGCGATGAGTAAATTTACCTTATTTATACTCAGGATTTTTTTCAGATTTTTCCAGGAAAAAATTCCCGAGTATGAGAAAAGTAAAGATTGGATTCATTCAGTCTACTATAATACCACAACTAGTACTGAGTAAAATTTTCGTCAATTTTCCTCATTTACTGGCAGATTTTTTAAGTTTTCCACAAGAAACCAAGAGGCAAATTTACTCATCGCTGAGTTCCTGTACTTTTGGTGAGTATGAGTCAACCAAACTAATATTTGGGTAGTTCTCGTTCGCCGTGTATCTGCATTGATCGTTCTATTCACAGTAACCGCAAAATACCCAATAATGACTACAAAGTAAGCATTTTCGAGGGAAACTGGGACTACCCATTAAATGAGTAGTATTTTACCCATTTATGAGTAATTACAAATAAAAAAATTAGTAGTAAGTATTCATATGTGATTAACAAATACTCATAAATGGATTTTTTTTTTCTATAGTCACTTTAACACTCTTGGGTCATTCGTGACTTGTCCGGGGGTGAGATTTGAACTCGTGACTTTGGCGTGAGAGGTATGGATGCTAACCACTACGCCGGGGTCGCCCCCATAAATGGGTAATCTTTTTACTCATTTAATGGGTGTCCCAGTCTCCCTCGAAAATGATTACTTTGTAGTCAATATCGAGTATTTTATAGCCATTATTGGGTATTTTGCAGTTACCATGTTTAAGGATTTTCTTTTTCGTTATAAACGCAAATACACAGTTAAAAAGTAGTGTAAATTTACATACTACAAATTTACTTTTTTCTACCGAGCTCAACTGTGCAAATATCGGCAAAAAAAGTTTTCCTGAGATCTCAGCAAATATTTCATTTGTTTGCTGAGATTGAGCTAAGGATTATCCAAGACTCAGCAATCAAATGTCACTTTTGTTGAGATCTCAGTGAAACATATTTTTGCACAGCCGAGCTCGGTAGAAAAAAACTAAGTGTGTATGATGCACATAAATGGAACATCATATATCCTACAAGCCTACAAGTTTACACTGGAGATGTGTAAATTTATAAGACATGTCATGCAATATTCCATGTATTGTATGCAACTGTCCATTTCTTGCAAGCTCCTAGTTACGTGAAAAGGAAGTTTACATCATCAGTAAAATTCAGATTTTTTTTTGTCTGTGTTCTTTTGAATTGTTTATCTAAAAATATTTTGAAACTGGTCTGTCATGACTTAAAACAAATTCTCAAAAGCAAAATATGACTTAGTTCTGATTTCCCTTCTGTTCGTGAAAGCTACTCGTGCTTTTAAATTTGATTTACAGATGACTTATGTTTTGAGCTGCTGAATGGCATCCTTAACTTCCCTCAGCGTGGGAGTTGGATCAGTTCCGTTCTCTGCTGCACTGACGTAGTCGTTTCCTCCATTGCGCTGGTCTCCCGTGCCTACGTTCTCCTCGCCATTCAGGTGCGCATCGAAGTGCTGTTTCCACCTTTCAATCACCTCACGTCCGTTCGTCAAGAGGCTCCCGTCCTTATACTTGCACATTTCGGCTCGCGACACGAAGCCGCTGCGGAATGCATTGAGCTTCTGGTAGAACTTCAGTGTTTCTTGGGAACGGCACAGCAGTTCCATTTCCTCGCACTCCGCTTCTTCCAGGCGGCGTTTTTTCTCCCGAAAGATGCGGGTCTGCTGTTTCCGCTTCTGTTTATACCGTTCCACGTTCTGTCGGGTTCCATGCTGCTGCATTACCGCTCGCGCTGCGTTCTTCTCCTCCAAAATCGCTCTGCACTCCTCGTCGAACCATTCATTCCGTCGACTTCTTTCCACGTACCCGATGGTGCTCTCGGATGCGTCGGTAATGGCTGCTTTTACTGTACTCCAGCAGTCCTCTAGAGGGGGCACATCGAGCTCGCCTTCCTCTGGCAACGCTGCCTCAAGATTCTGCGCGTATGCTAAGGCAACATCCGGTTGCTTCAGTCGCTCTAGGTTGTACCGTGGCGGGCGTCGGTACCGTACATTGTGGTCAGAGTCGACGTAAGCGCCACGATAATGTCGGAGAAGTGCAGTCCATCAATCAGAACGTGGTAGATTTTCGATTCCGTCTGCTGTGGTGATCTCCAGGTGTAACGATAGGGGAGGCTGTGTTGGAAGAAGGTGCTACGTATGGCCATGTTCTTGGAGGCGGCGAAATCGATGAGTCGTAGGCCGTTCCCGTTCGTCAGCTGAACCTTGCAATCGCCGGTCTGAATTCCTCCTCCTGGCCTACCTGAGCGCTTAGGTCTCCTATGATAATCTTGACGTCGTGGCTTGGACAGCGATCGTACTCGCGGTCGAACTGCGCGTAAAATGCGTCCTTGTCATCATCAGTGCTTCCGGAGTGGGGGCTGTGCACGTTGATTATGCTAAAGTTGAAGAATCGGCCCTTGATTCTCAACCTGCACATTCTTTCGTCGATCGGCCACCAACCGATCACGCGCTTCTGCATCGCGTGAGTTGCCGCAATTATGGTAGATGGTATGATTACCTCTAAACGTTCGCACCATGGATCCTGTCCAACACACCTCCTGCAGCGCTGCGATGCCGAATCCGCGGTCCTTCAGTTGATTGGCGAGTATTCGGGTGCTCCCGATGAAATTGATAGATCGACAGTTCCACGTGCCGAGTTTCCAATCGCAAGTCCTATTTCGTCGCTGGGGTCGTTGCCGTTGGTCTCGGTTCGTATTCCTCTGTTGTTGATTTTCCGTTGCAATGCTTTGTTTACGGCTGGCTCGCACCAACCTCCTAACTTTCCGCAGGACCAGGGTGCACAGTTGTGCTTAGAGACCTTCACTGGCACTCGGATGTAGATAAGCCACCCTAACATGGGGAACAGACGCTTTTGTGAACCGCTCCTCCTCAAGAACAGACGCTCAGGCTTGCCGAAGCAAACCCCCCCCCCCCTTTCCTGTCAGCCTATGACCAAAGCTCCCACCGGAGTTGGTTACCCGATCTTCCCTAAGGTTGCTCACAGTTCCCAGCCGGTACCATGGGGAGGTAGGGATAGGTGTTGCTGGGAAGAGGCTAGTGATCTCAATAGGATCTGTATTGCGCATTACCCAGAATTTATCGACCTATTAATCATGGACGAGAACGGCTTTCCTGGGAAGCTAATCAGACTGATCATAGCAACGATGGACGGTGTGCAAAACTGCGTAAGGATTTCGGGTGAACTATCCAGTTCATTTGAATCTCGCCGGGGACTGCGACAAGGTGACGGACTCTCATCAAAATCGCTCTAGAAGGTGTAATGCGATGAGCTGGGGTACGATTTTCACGAAATCCGGTCAATTTGTGTGCTTTGCGGACGACATGGACATTATCGCAAGAGCATTTGGAACGGTGGCAGTACTATACACCCACCTGAAACACGAAGCAGCAAAGTTCGGACTGGTGTTGAGTGCGTCAAAAACAAAGTACATGCTAGTAGGCGGAACCGAACATGACAGAATTTGTCTAGGAAGTAATGTCACGATAGACGAGGATACTTTCGAGGTAGAGGAGGAATTCGTTTACCTTGGATCCTTACTTACGGCTGACAACAATGTGAGTCGTGAAATACGAAGGCGCATCATCAGTGGAAGTCGTGCCTACTACGGGCTCCAGAAGAAACTACGGTCAAAAAAGATTCACCCCCGCACCAATGGTACCATGTAAAGAACGCTAATAAGACCGGTGGTCCTCTATGGACACGAGACATGGACTATGCTCGAGGAGGACCTGCAAGCACTCGGAGTTTTCGAGCGACGTGTGCTAAGGACGATCTCCGGCGGTGTGCAGGAGAACGGTGAGTAGCGGCGAAGAATGAACCACGAGCTCACTGCACTCTACGGCGAACCCAGCATCCAGGAGGTGGCCAAAGCCGGAAGTATGTGGTGGGCAGGGCATGTTGCAAGAATGCCGGACAACAACCCTGCAAAGTTGGTGTTCGCTATTGATCCGGTTGGCACAAGAAGGCGTGGAGCGCAGAGAGCACGATGGGCGGACCAGGTAAAGCGTGATCTAGCGAGCATTGGGCATGACCGAGGATGGAGAGCGGCAACCGCAAACCGAGTATTGTGGCGTACTATTGTTGATTATGTTTTATCTTAAATGTGATGTTGTACAAATAAATGTATGTATGTATGACTTATGTTTAGCGACGCCGGTGGTGAAGTGGTGAGCGTGATTACTTCTCACCCCAGCAGGCCTGCGTTCAATCCCAGTCGGCGCCACCGGGATGTTCTGAGGCATAACAATCTCTGGTCACGTCTTCCTTCGGAAGGGAAGTAAAGCCGTTGGTCCCCATGTGTGTTATTGAATGGGTGCAATATCCTACTCAGGTGTGGAAGCTGCCTTCTTGCACATTCGATTATCGTCAATGGATGGCAATCGATGTCCGTCGGTGATTGGTCTAGATTGCGGAACAGAGACTGACGTTAAATTAAGGAATGAAGAGAGAAAAATTCCTTAAAAATGTAACATTTTGATTTCTTACAAAATTACCCAACCCTAATCATAGAAAATAACTTTCGAAATGTAGCTTTAAACCCATCGACAGATGATTCACAACCTAAAAGTTTAACATAACATCTCTGATCACGGGAAGTAAAGCCGTTGGTCCCCGGTTCATGAGTTGATGGGTCGATTGGTAGGGTCCAGGTGTGGGAGCTACCTCTCTGGCATCGGTAGAATTGATGGCCGAGATGGGCACCACCGATCAGCTCGGCATTTTATTTTGTTGGATCTCAGTGAAAAACTTGCCAAGATTCAACAAAATATATGTTTGTTAGCCGAGATCTCGGCAAAACTTCCGTTTTGTTAGCTGAGATCTCGGCAAGTTTTTCATTGAGATCCAGCAAAATAAAATGCCGAGCTGCTCGGTGGTGGCCATCTCGTCAAAAAAATGTAAGTGTGTTTGACCTAATCTCCTTTGATCTATTGACCTTTGGTCTAATGACGTTTGACCTAATGACCTTTGACCTAATGACCTTTGACGTAATGACCTTTGATGTAATGACCTTTGATGTAATGACCTTTGGCCTCATGACCTTTGATATAATGACCTTTGACCTAAAAACCATTGGTCTAATTACCTTTGACCTAATCACCTAATGACCTTTAGCCTAGTAACCTTTGGCTTAGTAACCTTTGACCTAATGACCATTCGGTATAGTGATGTTTGACGTAATGACCTTCATGGAAACATGGACACAGCTGGGTGGCGTAGCCTGGGCAATGTTGCCAGTGTGGCAATAGGAAAGTGACGCGAACACTGACGCGGTAACCATAGTACGGTGATAGAGGAAATGCTTCACTAAACCCGAGCGGCTGATCACCGTCCTAGTGCCAGCGTGGGACTCTAAACAGAGCTGTGCACGATGGTCCCCGGCGAGACAGGGGGTTGGGGTAGGCTCAACAAGCCGTCCTGGAAAAAACATAAAGTTCCAAATTTTGAAGAAAGAAATACGGATCGGAACAATCGGCACAGACCTACGCGACGAAATAAGGACTACGATTGGAAACTCGGAACATGGAACTGCAAATCACTCGGCTCTCGGGTTGCGATAGGTTAATCTATGACGAACTTCAAACACGCAACTTCGAAGTCGTAGCACTGCAGGAACTTTGCTGGACGGGACAAAAGGTATGGAAAAGCGGGCATCGAGCGGCTACTTTCTACCAGAGCTGTGGCACCACCAACGAGCTGGGAACCGGCTTTGGGGTGCTGGGTAAGATGCGCCAACGCGTGATTGTTTGGCAGGCGATCAACGCGAGGATGTGCAAGTTGAGGATTAAGGGCCGTTTTTTCAACTACAGTATCATCAACGACGCGTTCTATGCGCAGCTGGAGCAGGTGTACGACGGCTGTTCGCAACAGGATGTCAAAATCGTCACGGCGACATGAACGCTCAGGTAGGACTGGAGGCAATGTATAGATCGGCAATCGGGCCGAACAGCCTGCATGTCGTATCGAACGACAAGGATATCCACAAAGCCACCTGGAGATCACCTGACCAACACACAGAAAACCAAATCGATCACGTTCTAATCGACGGTAAATTCATTATCAACGTCCGCACGTACCACAGTGCGAACATAGATTCGGACCACTACCTAGTTGCAGTATGCTTGCGCTCAAAACTCTCGACAGTGCATAACACCCGTCGAAGTCGAACGCCGCGACACAACATTGAGCAACTACGGGACGCCGGAGTTGCTCAGGACTACGCGCAGCAGCTGAAAGTTGCACTACCCACTGAAGAGCAGCTTGGCGCAGCTACTCTTGAAGATGGCTGGAGGGACATCCGTTCCGCCATAGGTAGTACTGCTGCAGCAGCACTAGGTACTGCGATCCCGGACCGAAGAAATGACTGGTGTGACGGCGAATGCAAACTGTTAGTAGAGGAGAAGAATTCAGCACGGGCGAGAATGCTGCAACACCGCACGAGATTGAATGTGCAGCGATACAGACAAGCGTGGAACAGACAAAGCTCTGTTTTCCGAAGGAAGAAGCGTCAGCAGGAAGACCGAGATCGCGAGGCGATGGAAAATCTGTACCGCGTAAACGACACACGGAAGTTCTACGAGAAGCTAAATAGTTCGCGCAAAGGCTACGTGCTGCAAGCCGATATGTGCAAGGACTTGGACGGATTGAGATGTTTAAGTAATACTATGACGAGCACCTCAACGGTGATGCAGCAGAAAACGAAGGTGGCACTGCAACAGACCTTGAAGCAAGCGCAGAAGACGGCAGGCTACCAGCCTCTGATCTTCAAGAAGTTGAGGAGCAACTGGTGTAGATCAACTACCAAGTGAGCTATTAAAATACGGTGGTAACGCACTGGCTAGAGCACTGCACTGGGTAATTACCAAGATTAGGAAGGAGGAGATACTATTGGAGGAGTGGATGGAAGGTGTCGTATGCCCAATCTTCAAAAAGGGCGACAAGTTGGATTGCTGCAACTACCGCGCGATCACACTGCTGAGCGCCGCCTATAAGGTACTCTCCCAAATTCTATGCCACCGCCTGTCACCATTTGCAAGAGAGTTTGTAGGGCAATACCAGGCGGGATTCATGGGTGCCCACGATACCACGGACCAAATTTTCGCGATTCGGCAGGTTCTGCAGAAATGCCGCGAATTCAACGTGCCCACACATCATTTGTTCATCGATTTCAAATCCGCATACGACACAGTTCAGATTGACGGGGACGAAATCGAGGTGGTCGATGAGTTCGTATATTTGAGCTCACTGGTGACCGCCGAAAATGATACCAGCAGTGAAATTCAAAGACGCATTCCGGTCGAATAAAATTCGCTGCCACAAGACGCTGATTAGACCGGTAGCCATCTACGGCCACGAGACCTGGACTATGCTCGTGCAGGACCAACGCGCTCTTGGTGTTTTCGAACGGAAGGTTTTACGTACCATCTACGGTGGAGTTGGATGATGGAACGTGGAGGAGGCGAATGAACTACGAATTGCACCAGCTGCTGGGAGAACCATCCATCGTCCACATTTCAAAAATTGGGCGACGATTGCGGTAAGAATGCCGCTCGACGACCCAGTGAAAATGGTTCTAGAAAGCGACCCAACAGGAACAAGAAGAAAAGGCGCGCAGCGGGCAAGGTGGATCGACCAAGTAGAAGGCGACCTGCGAACCCTTCGCGGACTACGAGGCTGGTGAAGTGTGGCCATGGATCGAGTAGAGTGAAGACGACTTCTTTGGACAGCAAAGAACAACAAGGCCTTAGCCTGATTGGTAAGGTAAGGCTTTCACAATATAGGAATTTTTAAAAAAAGGGGGTGACCTGTGGGTACTGTGAATCCATGTCTGACGCCATTTTTGAATCCAAGATGGCGGCTTCCGGTTGGTAAAAAACTTAGAGAATACTGTCAAATACCCCACAATATGGATATTTCTGGAACAGTGATGACTTGTAGGACCAATTTCATTACTTCATCAGACATAGGTTAAAAGTCCCTTTACGTCAGTCCAATTCCAAAATCACTCATATTGTGGGGTATTTGACTGTATTTTCCAAGTTTTCTGCAACTGAAAGTCGCCATCTTGAATGTGGTATTCAAGATGGCGACTTCCAGTTACAGAAAACTTGGAAAATACAGCCAAATACCCCACAATATGAGTGATTTTGAAATCGGACTGACGTAAAGGGACTTTTAACCTATGTCTGATAAAGTAATGAAATTAGGTTGTTAGCGGAATGCTTAAGAATAAAACAGCAAAATAAGGTTATCTTCCATTTAATTCCACTGAATTTATTTTGGTATCCATGACCGATACGTATTTCGACTACAATGTGCAGTCTTCATCAGTGTCATTCCCACCAAAGAACTTATACTCATCCCCTAGGTAAAAAAGTCAAGATCACAGGTATAAAAATGAAACCACAATGTGTTAAATCGGAACCTACCTAAATAATTAAAACCAAAGACTTAAGTAAACTAAAGGAGACAAATCTATACAACTCTCTGATAAGGGAAAAATTCCCTGACAAGTCTGAAGTCCCCTTGAACTGGCTAATCAGTACCCAATGATTCCAGACTCAGACATCAACTGAAACTGGCCATTGTTGTCTATTTCGCTAAAATCACCGGAAAGGGATCGTGATATCCGGTGTTGATCAAAAGTTCAGAAACCCACCTTCTGCAATCAATCCTTGAACAGCCTTGCAGCAATCTAGCCGATCGGATTATCAATCGATTATTTCCCGCTCAGTCCATCATCGCTTGCACCAATTCGTCACCATTGTGTAATCATTGATATGCACAACTTACCGCACCAGCTGCAATAAACCTTCAAACGGCTCCACCTTTGATAACTTCAACTTCAACAACAACAACAACAACGGTAACAAGAAACAGACATGCAACTACGCTACACTCATCAGGTTTTGTTTTCATTCGTTTGTTAGAGTACAAGGTGCCAAAACAGCAACAACAACAACAACATCAGCAAGAACCAAGAACAACAACCTTTTCAAGATACGCCTGCAATCGGTGCGAACAACATATTTACATCAGAATCGGACCGTCTTCAGCCAATATCAGGGATTAGTATGCATCAAAAGAAACATTCAAAACACAGGTTGGTGGTTAATTTGTCTGTTAAGGTAGCTTTTATTACTCTCTCTCTCTCTATCTATTTCTCTTTCACTGTCTTTCTTCACCTTCTTCGTTTTCTTCCATTTATTTACAAGTGTTTGAACAGATTTTTTGTTTGCTTTTGATTTTTTTATAACAATCCGTATTTTAGTTTTCGTTTAATAATAATAATGATAAACTTTCGAAACAACACCCCTAGCTTTAGCTGTAATAGCGACTCCGTATGACTCTTCCCTAACTCTAAGAACATACAATTTTCCCTGCTTGGAGATTTGCATTTCCTACACACACCTTAGGTTCATGGATGATCGCGAGATGAATTTGATTTTGTGGTCGTCATGATTTTTTTTTGTTTTAATGGAAATTTCGTCGATTTTTAATGGAATGACGTTTAGCCTTTAGCGCATGGAACATTTATACACGTGAGCATGAGCGTGCAATAAGACCCTTAATATACCCTCAATGTAAATAATTTTTGTTTTCTCTATAACGTCGGCGTCGGATTAAAAGCATTTTGACACAAGCCAATCGATTTGACCTGCCGAGGATGGGACGGTTCATGGGTGCACCGCTTTGGAATCGAACTTGTCGGAGGAGTATGGGGAAAGTTCAATCTAAGAAAGTTTAACTGTAACAAACAATTATGCGGAAGTCAATTGGATCCTTATGGGATATTGAGTTTTGAAAACCCTGTAGCATGTTGGGAAATTATCATCGCTGAACAACTTTCCGCTTTCAATTCGAATGAAAATTGCTTCAATTCCAGAACACTGCACCGCACACCACCCCAATCCCCTTCACGAATCCCTTTTCATAACCTCAAAAAAATAAATGTCTTCAATTGGTACGGCACTTCAAACGCGAGTCCCCCTTCCTCCGCATCCTGACCATCATTGCCTTGGATCTACTCATCGTCATCGTCATGATCGCCCAGCGAGACCGAGTTGGATCCCCCGTTCGAGCCGGACGATCCGGACAGGATGGGTCCGGAAAGTTTCAACAGCGACGACAAAACGCCTCCCAATCCTGGTGCAGCTTGGCCGCCGTTGCCGTGGTCCGAATCGTCGTTGCTATGTCCGTTGCTACCGCCCGAAGATCCACCCAGCAGTCCTCCGCTGAACGATCCGAGCTTGGAAGTGAAGAACTGCACCTTCGGCGTGATGACCGACGACACCAACGTCTGGAAGCTGGTGATCGGCTTCGGCGACTCGATGTGGTACTGCTTGTTCTTTTCGATGTTGGCGTGGTCCAGTTTGTCCACGAAGCGCGTTTTGGCATCGATTATGGAGTTGATTTTCTGTTGGGACATGCACAGGGAGGTATTTGAGGATGGGTTGCCTAGCTTGTGAGTGTGTGTTCTTGGTGAGAATTCGGTTAGATTTGGTTAGTTTTCACCACCGTTAGGGAATTAATACATCAGCAACCGGATTGTTGTTAGTAGGTACAAATTCATCAAACCTAAGCGTCAGAGAAGCTTGAATTAAAAAAAACCAAACGACCTTAACCAAGTAAGCAAACCCCCTTCTCGAGTTGAGAAGATCGTGTGTCTTTGCAGCGAGATACAGATCTCTTAGCATGGAGGTGATCGGAGCCCGTCGTGATGATCAAATGATTATGATGGAGTGTGTGTGTCACACACGGGTGACCTATTGTTTGCACACGAATGACACGAGACTACCGCATGTGTGCCGAGAGTCAACAGTCAGGGACTCAGCCATCCGATAAACGTAAACAGAGGTTTGAATTGGAATTAATTCACTGCTGATCTGAGTGGCTTCTCACGTTTCAGTGTTGATTTTTTTTATCTAATTTATTATTTTGGCTGGAGAAGGATCTACTTATCTCGAGAGATCTGATATTTGATTCGAACGAAATGATCAAGGTAGTCTTCGTGGCAGTGTGTAATATTTATCAATCTTTAGAATTGATTGCCCAAGCCCATATGTTGGGGTCATGAATCATACTGGAGGGTGGGTGCAATGATTGCACATACGAAGGAATCCTCTTAATACATATACAATCAAAATAGCATGAAATTTTAAAATTTATCGCATGTGGGCTCAAGTTTTCATTTGTGTAAACAAATTGAATAAATGCCGATAAAGACAGGCATTCTGTTCTTTAAATTGTTTGGGTGATTGGTGTCTTGAGCGAAGTTTCTCCTAATAATTAGCACCATTTGTTGACATAAACAGTTAGTTAGATATTCAACCGATGTGATGGCATCAAAATAAAACATTTTGTTCTGACATTCTGGAGACTTGACGACAAAGTTGTTCATCTTATCAAAATAAACAACGTTTTTATAGACGTCAAAATTCCACAGCCTACTGTTTTCGAGTTATTTGGAAATCAAAAACTACAAGGGACAGCCCTATGGGGTTGAATGCAATGGTGACGTAGGACTACGTAGTCTTGTATAATAAATCTTATTTTTTAACTGTAGCAGGAGCTTGTGTTTTGTGTAGGAATTTGAGCGGGGTTCTCTCTATTTATACTCTTTAGTATGATGCGCTTGACATAGATGGTCCACAGCAACTTACGAAGAGCTACTGATTCCGATCAGCGGTGTGGTTTCTTCCTTCTTCTATGGATGCTCATGTGAAAATGCTGTCAGTGACGAACATGTGTAGATTTTTTATTAACTGAATTTGTAACGAAATTAACACAATTATATGGAATGAACAAGCATCTACGTCCTGCACTACATGGATAACTATAATGTGCCACATAATGCACGATATTACACTTTTTGTTACCAGGTGAAACTTTGTCATTGACGAAAAAATTAATAAGATTTTGGCGAAAGTTTTTCTGAGGATCAAGTCTGTCAGTGACTATGTGAAAAACAATTTTGTCAATATCGCACGAAAGTCTGGCAATAACAATGACAAATCTCAGCACTGACAGTAGCCCCTCCATATATGTGGTGGATGGTTTCGTTCACCCACCACTGTTCCTCAGCTGTTCTTCAACCAATTGAGCTGATTATCTGTAAATAACTAGTTTATGATTGACACTAATCACATTTAAAAAATCAACATACTTGGTTGAATGATAGCCGAGACATAGCAGTAGATAAATGATACCACCCACCTCATATATGGAAAGGTTACTGTACAAATTCTTGAAGCAAATCTTAAGAAATTATTGAAGAATTTCATTGAAAATTCTTGTAGAATTTATTTGTAAATTTCTGGAACGTTTTATTCGCGAAACTAGAAAAATTCCATTTAAAATTCGTGAACTATTTCAGTCAAAACTCTTGTGAAATTCAATCCGAGTTCTTGAAAGATTTGATTTTATTTTCATCATTTTATGAAATAAATATATTTTTATATTATAGTTCCAGTAGAACTTAATTCGAAATACTTCCAGGATTTTATTTGAAATTCTTGCAAGAATATTTTCAAAATTCTTGAAGAATTTCATTCGAAATTCTTGCAGAATTTCATTCGAAGTTCTTGCAGAATTTCATTTGAAATTATTGCAGAAATGCATTCAAAATTCTTGTAGAATTTCATTTTAAATTCTTGTAGGATTTTCATTTAAATTCTTGTAGGTTTTCATTAGAAATTCTTGAAGAATGTCATTTGAAATTCATGATGAAATTAATTTTAAATTTATTGTGGAACAAAATTTTAAATTACAGGTATACCTCGATATACCGTAACCGTCACTTTGGACTTCTATCGTCAATACCTCGCTAATAACAATTGAATCATACCAATAAATACTAACAATTGATGGAGAATTATCTCATCTGTCCGATGGTGATATTGCTTTGCTTGTTTGAATGATTGTTTACAAAAAATCAGCGATGAAATTCAAAAGTGACAGTTACGTTATATTGAGGTTAACCTGTATGATAAAATTTGTATTCTGGTCGAAATTAATTTGAAATTCTTGAAGAATTGAATTTAAAATCATTGTTGAATTAAATGCAAAATTCGTGTAGAATTTAATTTCAAATTCTTTGAGAATATCATTTGTAATTCATTAAAGGATTTTATTTGAAATTCTTGTAAGAATTAATTTAAAATTCATTGAGGATCAACTTGAAATTCTTGAAGACTTTATTTAAAATTCTTGGAGAATTAAGTTTGGATTTTTTTAGAATTTCATTTAAATTTTGCGTAGAATTTCATTTGAAATTGTTTTAGAATTTTATTAGAAATTATTGTATAATTAAATTCAAAATTCTTAGGAATTTAATTTTAAATTCTTGGTGAATTTTATTTGAAATTAATGATGAAGTTTGTTCGAAATTCATGATAAATTTTATAAAAAATTCTTGAACAATTTGATTCGATATTCTGGTAAAATTTCATTTGAAATTCTTGTAGAATTTGCTTTGAACATCTTGGACTTTTCCATTTATATTTGTTTGAGAATTTCATTCAAAGTTCTTCAATTAATTGCTTGTAGAATTTCATTTGAAATTCTTGTAGAATTGCATTTGAAATTATTGTATTATTTCATGCATTTGAAATTCTTTAAGCATTAAATTTAGAATTGTTTATATAATTAAACTTTGAATTCTCGTAGAAATTCATTCGAAATTATTTTAGAATTTTATAAGAAATTCTCGTGTTATTTCTTTGAAATTCTATTTGAAGCTTATTTAACATTCATAATGGAGTTCATTCGAAATTCATGATGAATTTGATTGAAAATTCATGTAGAATTAAACTACATATTCTTGAAGAATTTCGTTTGATATTTTGATAAAATTTCATTTGATATTCTTGTAGAATTTGCTTTTAAATTCTTGCACTATTCCATTTGTAATTGTTTTAAAATTTCATTCGAAATTCTGCAAGAACTTGATTTAAAGTTTAAGTAGCATTTCATTCAAAATTCTTATTTAATATCAATCTAAATTTTTGTTGAATTTCATTTGAAATTCTTGTTGAACTTCATCTGAAATTCCTTAAGCTTTAAATTTTGAAATCATTTTGAATTGAATTTGCATAGAATTTAACCTTGAATTCTGGTAGACTTTCATTATAGATTCTTGTAGAAATTAATTTGAAATTTTGCAAAAAATTATTTGAAATTCTGATAGAAATTGTTTTGAAATTCTTGAAATTATTTTAGATTTTTGTTTTAATTTTTTAGAAAATTAAATGTGAAATTCTTGCAGAATTCATTTTGATATTATTGAAGATTTCATTTCAAATTCTTGTAATTATATTTGAAATTCTTAATGATGTTTTTTTTTTTTAATTCATTTTGATTTTTTATTCTGGAAGATTTTTTTTAGAAATTCTAGAACTATTTCATTTGAAATTCTTAATGAATTTGTTTAGAAATTCTTGCACAATTTCATTCGAAATTGGTTTAGAATTTTATTTGAAAATCTTGAAAAATTTAATTCGAAATTTTAGCAGAATTTCACGCAAAACTAATGAAGAACTTCACTCAAATATCATTTTGAACTTCATTCGAGATTCCTGTAGAATTTCATTTTATATTCTGGTATATATATTTTTTTAAATTCTTACAGGATTTGATTGCAGATCTTAAAAAAAATCTTTTGATAATATTGTCTTATTTTATTGTTTATTCTAGTAGAATTTCATTTGAAATTATTCTAGGATAGAATTCGATTTTTTTTTTAATTTAATTAGAAATTCTTGTATAATTTCATTAGAAATTCCAGTAGAATTTCATTCTACATCCTTTTCGAGTATGAGTTGGAATTCTTGTAGAATTAAATTTGAAACCCTTGCACAATTTCATTTGAGAATCTTGCAGAAATTCATTGGAATTTATGAAAGAATTGTGGTGAATATTCTTCGAGGATTTCTATTCATTTTTTTTTAATTTTTATATAAGATTATAGAAGAATTTTATTCTTAATTCTTGACGAGTTCTTATTAAATTTCATACGATATTTATGTAAAATGTTATGCAAAACTCTTGCAGAATTTCATGATAATTTGTTGTATAATTCTAATCGTAAACCTTGCAAAATTTCACTCCAAATTCTTGTAAACTTTCATTCGAAGTTCTAGTGTAATGTTTAGTCGAATTTCAATCAACATTTCTCAAACTTTGCCATTCAATATTCTTGTGGAATTCCTTTCAAAAATATTGAGGGATTTCATTCGAATATTTGTCGATATTCTTTTGAAATTTTTAATCAAATTCTTTCAGGATTTCATTGGATGTTCCTGTGAAACACTACTTTAATTTTTGTAGAATTTCATTCAAAATTTCGTGAAGAATTTCAACTGCAATTCTTGTTAAATTACATTTGAAATTTTTGAAGAATATTATTGAAATTTATTA